CCCAGAGCCCCCGAGGGCCCAGCCATATCCTGGGCTGCATCAAGAGATGCACGGCCAGCAGGTCGAGAGAGGTGATTATGACCCTCTACTATGCTCTGCTGAGACCCCACCTGGAGTCCTGCGTCCAGCTCTGGAGTCCTCAGCATGAGAAAGACATGGATGTGTTGGAGCAGGTCCAGAGGAGTGCCACAAAAATGATCAGAGGGCTGGAGCACCTCTGCTATGAGGAAAGGTTGAGAGAGTTGGGCCTGTTCAGCCTGGAGAAGAGATGGCTCCGTGGAGACCTTTTAGCAGACTTTTAGTACCTGAAGGGGGCCTATAGCAAAGATGGGGGAAATCTTTTTAGCAAGGTGTGTTGTGACAGGACAAGGAGTAATGGCCTTAAACTAAGGGAGGGTAGATTCAGATTGGATATAAGGAAGAAATTTTTTACAGTGAGGGTGATGAAACACTGGAATGGGTTGCCCAGAGAGGTGGTGGAGGCCCCATGCCTAGAAACCTTCTATGATTGTATGATTCTTGGGCCACACTACCCAAGTTGCAAAAGGCAAAGGCAGGGACTGGGAGAATGAAGAACCGCCCACTGTAGGAGAAGACCAGGTTCAAGACTGCCTAAGGAACCTGAAGGTGCACAAGTCCATGGGGCCTGATGAGATGCATCAGCAGGTCTTGAGGGAACTGGCGGATGAAGTTGCCAAACCACCCTCCATCATATTTGAGAGGTCGTGGCGGTCTGGGGAGATCCCCACCAACTGGAGAAGGGGCAACATCACCCCCATTTTCAAAAAGGGAAAAAAGGAAGACCTGGGGAACTATAGGCCAGTCAGTCTCACCTCTGTGCCTGGCAAGATGATGGATTAGGTCCTCCTCAAAACCATGCTAAGGCACATGGATAACAAGGAGGTGACTGGGGACGGCCAACATGGCTTCACCAAGTGCAAATCATGCGTGACCAACTTGGTATCCTTCTATGATGGGGTTAAAGCATTGGTGGACAAAGGGCAGGCAACTGACATCATCTATCTGGACTTGTGCAAGGCATTCAACACTGTCCCGCATGATGTGCTTGTCTCTAAATTGGAAGGACATGGATTTGACAGATGGATCACTCGTTGGATAAGGAACTGGCTCGATGGACACACTCAAAGAGTTGCAGTCAACGGCTCAATGTCCAGGTGCAGACCAGTGGTGAGTGGTGTGCCTCAGGGGTCGGTACTGGGGCCAGTGCGGTTTAGTATCTTTGTCAGCGACATGGGCAGTGGGACTGAGTGCATCCTCAGCAAGTTTGCCAACGACGCCAAGCTGTGTGGTGTGGTTGATACGCTGGAGGGAAGGGATGCCATTCAGAGGGACCTTGACAGGCTGGAGAGGTGGGCCTCAGTGAACCGCATGAAGTTCAACAAGGCCAAGGGCAAGGTCCTGCACGTAGGTCAGGGCAATCCCAAACACAAGTACAGGCTGGGCGGAGAGTGGCTCGAGAGCAGCCTGGAGGAGAAGGACTTGGGGGTACTGGTGGACGAGAAGCTCAACATGAGCCAGCAATGTGCACTTGCAGCACAGAAAGCCAACCGTATCCCGGGCTACATCAAGAGAAGCATGGCCAGCAGGTTGAGGGAGCTGATTCTGCCCCTTTACTCTGCTCTCGTGAGACCCCACCTGGAGTCCTGCGTCCAGCTCTGGAGCCCCCAACATAAGAAGAACATGGATGTGTTGGAGTGGGTCCAGAGGAGGGCCACGAAGATGATCAGAGGGCTGGAACACCTCTTCTATGAGGACAGGCTAAAAGAGTTCGGGCTGTTCAGCCTGGAGAAGAGAAGGCTAGTTGGAGGCCTGTAACTAGTGGTGTCCCCCAGGGGTCAGTACTGGGCCCAGTCTTGTTCAACTTCATCATCATCTTCATCAATGACCTGGATGAAGAGTTAGAGTGCACCCTCAGCAAGTTTGCTGATGATACTAAACTGGGAAGAGTGGTGGATACACCAGAAGGCTGTGCTGCCATTCAGCGAGACCTGAACAGGCTGGAGAGTTGGGCAGAGAGGAACTTGATGAGGTTCAACAAGGGCAGGTGCAGGGTCCTGCACCTGGGGACGAACAACCCCATGCATCAGTACAGGCTCGGGACAGACCTGCTGGAGAGCAGCTCTGCAGAGAGCGACCTGGGTGTGCTAGTGGAGGACAGGTTGACCATGAGCCAGCAGTGTGCCCTGGCAACCAAAAAAGCCAATGGGATCCTGGGATGCACCAAGCGGAGTGTGGCCAGCAGGTCGAGGGAGGTTCTCCTCCCCCTCTACTCTGCCCTTGTGAGGCCCCATCTGGAGTACTCTGTCCAGTTCTGGGCTCCCCAAAAAAAAAAGAGAAGGCTGCGAGGGGACCTAACAAATGCTTATAAATATCTGAAGGGTGGGTGTCAGGAGGATGGGGCCAGACTCTTTGCAGTGGTGCCCGGTGACAGGACAAGGGGCAATGGGCACAAACTGAAGCACAGGAAGTTCCATCTGAACATGAGGAAGAACGTCTTCCCTTTGAGGGTGATGGAGCACTGGAACAGGCTGCCCAGGGAGGTTGTGGAGTCTCCTTCTCTGGAGATATTCAAGACCCCCCTGGACCAGGTC